ATAAGAAATCAATCGGCGCAAAAAGCCATGTTGCCGGGACTGTGCAGGACCAACACTGCATTATTGTTGCAATCGCTGATGAGAGCCTGGCGTGGGCACCCTGATCAGCATGCAGGCCATCATGCACTTGCTTGGGTTGGGTCCACTTCCAAAACCCCTCAAAGGCTTGGGGCCCGGGCCCCCAAGGGCTTGGGGCCAGGCCACCTAGGGGGTCGGGCCAAGAGGCCTGTAAAACATCAAAAACAGCAATTTTTCGTCGTTCTGAAAATCTCCTGGCGGGAGGCTGCCGAAGGGGTGGGAGTCGGCTGAGACGGCTGCTGCGGAGGTGGGGGCCTGGAGGGAAACGGACACGGGATACAGCGTCCAAAACAGTGTCGGTTCACCCGCTCACAAACTCGGATCGTCGGACAAGCCAATGAACTTCTAGCTTGTATCGCGACAAATAAGTGACCGACTAGTGTCTTGCCAGACGTACGAGTTACCTGCCTTTGCCTAAGGGCTAGTATTCATTCCAACGGCAATGATGCTGACGCCCATCAAGAAGACGCTGCGCGACATCCGAAAGTAGCTGAAGGCAAGTGCGCGGCAACCCGCTGACGGAGGAACAGATGGAGAAGCTCCGGACCAAAGAAGAGGGCCTTGGTTCAGAAGCTCCGCCAGCAGAACTTGCATGTGACAGCCTGAAGTGTCCAGAGTCATCGATGCCACACTGTGGACGCTTCGAAGGTCGAGATTCCTGCCCCCCAACCCCCCCCCCGCGCTTCTAGGCTGTAAGTAAGAAGAGAAGAGGGTTTTCACCCTCTCCGTTACTGAAACCATCCAGCACGCCCCTCAAGGTCGGCGGATACGGATAGGAGGCCTCGAGCTGGACCGCGGTATACCACAATCTTTATTCTAGGGATTTGCCAGAGAAGGGCCCCAGATTTTTGAAATCCTTCTATACTTACATTATCTTAACTTGAGTGTAGCCTAGGCAGTTGTACTTGGCCATGTAAATGGATTCTACTTACAAGAAGAATTGTGTACTGTACTTCAGTAATGAGGGGGTTTGGGTTACCCAACCCCCTATAAGAAGGACTTCACAAAAATCATAAGATTCTAATACTCTCCTAATTTGGGGGGTCGAGGCTACCAAAATCCTCGTCTTACGGAGGCCCTGGACCTCCAAGGTTCGCTTAGGCGCGTTGGGAAAGAGGTCTGCAGCTGTTGATCTCTAAGCACTAAACTCT